AAGGATTCATGATTGCCATACAGGATCAGGTCATAAATACTAAAAACTACAGAAAACACATACTCAAAGATACAACACTCACAAATGACACATGCAGAAAATGTCACATCATGCCAGAAACTATACAACACATCACTTCTGGTTGCAAGCTCTTGGCACAGAAATTATTTACACAGACACAATCAAGTAGCAAATATAATACACCAACAGCTTGCAAATGAACACAAATTATTAGACATCCACGAATCATACTACAAGTACATTCCACAAGACAGTATTGGAAAACAACACGCACAAAATGTATTACGACAGAGCCGTAATCACAGATAAAACAATTTACCACAACAGACCAGATATCACACTCATTGACAAATACAATAAAATCACATACATTATAGACATAGCCATTCCAAACACTCAGAATGTACAAAACACATGCACTGAAAAAATTAGCAAGTACACAGAATTCGCCCAAGAAATAAGGCATCTCTGGAGGATGGATAGTGTGCTTATTGTACCTGTCGTTCTCTCCTGTACAGGTGTGATACGATACACACTATACAAAAGTCTGGGAACATTACAATTACATAGAAATACATGAATACAAGAATACAAGAAATACATACATCACGCTACAGAAGGCCACTATATTGAATATATGCCATATTGTTAGAAAATTCTAGTGGCTGTGTACTATGCCTTGACTTTGGTCCGGCATAGTACACAGCCACTGGTGTGAATAGAGTATAACCCACTAAACCCAACATAATAATAATAATAATAATCAGCGCAAAGCCCAAACGGTTAGGAGTTGAAAGTTGAAATTTGGTACAGTTCAGGGTACGACACTAAGAAGGGATTTTTCGAAATTCCTCCCCACGGGAGAGAGGGACAGGATTAAGGCTTAACACTTCCATTGTTGATGGAAGTGTTAAGTAACAATGGAAGTATCAACAATGGCAGTGTTAACAATGGAAGTGTCAACAATGGAAGTTTTAACAATGGAAGTGTTAAGAGAAAGCGACGGACAAGATTTACAGACGCAGATGCAGTTTTTCGTTTTTCCGGGAAATCGAACATTTTTTTAACCCATCTAAAAATTCTCTAATTAGTCTGGAAACAGGGGGACCTAATTCTTGTATTCTTTGAAAACGGGTAAGATTGACTATAACGTAATAATCTTAACCTTCGCTATCGTTATTTTTTGCCCGAGCAACGCCGGGCCTATCTGCTAGTTATTAATATAATAATCAAAGTCTGTTTATTTGTTGGTAGCTTCTTTTGTCGTCTTTCTTTCTCAACAGATGGCGGTACTTCATAACACATTGTAATATTTGTTATTTATGATTATTTTTTGTTGTTAAGTTGTTACTATTAATATTAATAGTAATATTCTTATATTATTTATTAATGTTATTAATTCTATTATTCTAATATATAAAGACGGATTGTTGACTAGATGGCGCTATTTCATACCATTCGACGTCATCGTTTCACTTTTCCGGCTGATTACGTATGCGTAACAAAGGAAAGCATTGGAATGGCCGCACATTTGACCCTTCGGGGTTTTCGCAAATCTCCACGTTTTGTGACCTCCTGAACTAAAAAAGAAAACAATTTTCATGGATACGTGTGTGTTGGCATCTATTTCGTTTAGTATCTCAGGATGGGGATTAAGAAACGAATTTTGGCACGATAACTTGTGTACAACGTGCATAGATACAAGTAAATTTTGGTAGTTAAAGGTCAAAGAGATGGGAAGATAGAGAGGGTCATATCTCAAGCGAGGTCGAACTTAATGAAGATTTTACTCGTTATTAGCATTTACAAATTTTTTTATATAAAACTTATCCTTTCCATCAAAATTAAGTTTTTTTGCTATTTTATATTTAATAATATGAAAAGTTTTTAAATAATAAAATATTATAATACGTGATGGCACGTACAATTTTATATACTGTATATTGCGATTAATAATATAAAAGTTATTTTTTAAATGAAAACTCATAATAGCCGGAAAAGTTATGCAACTCGTTGTAAGATTTTTATTAATTTAGAATTTGCCTTATTTCATTTATGAAATCAAATGAATGTTAAGATTTCTATTAATCAGAAAAGACAGCAAGGCTATAAATGTTTAATACGATTCCATATCAAGGATGCATATGGCGAAAGTATGTATACCGTCATGATCAGCCATGTTTTTTCGGTTGGGTCAGTCTGAGAAGTGAGTAGTGATTGACGAAAACGTAATATATTAACGAGGAGAAGGACAATTAATTTTCTTCTTCAAATAAATTATATTTAATATTATTTTTCTATGTAAGAAGAAATAGGAATAGATAACAATTTATCACTCGAGAGAATAAATTTAGCAAATTCTGAAAGCATCAATAAGATATTGATCTTATTGATGACTCGTAAACGTGAGTAACCTAACGATTAGTTATTTTATGAAATAAAAAATGACAATAGAAGAAAAAATAAACATTTTAAATAATTACGAATAAAATTGTAAGATCTTTGAGTAATTGAATTAAAAATAGAATATTTTCTAAGTTATGCTATATTTTAATGGTACAAATCGAATATAATAAACGTAATATAATTAAATTTTATATAATTATTAAGATGAGGAAGGAAAATTTTATTTGGATTGTTAAAAAAGTTAATTAAAAACATTTGCTAACGAAGATAATTTAATCCGAACAGACTGGGCCTTCAGATAATCTTTTGTCATTTCGTTTAAAGGTTAACAAGTAAAACTCGTGTTTTAAATGTTTTTAACATCTTGTTTCGATTTAATGAATTGTTGTAACAATTAAAAACAAGAAAAATGGAATTTTGTTAAAGAACTGATACTTAAACATCACTCCTCCCTCATTGCATCTCTAATTATCACTAAATACAATTGTTACTTTCATCTTTAAATCTAAATTAACGATCATTATTATACTCTACAGATTAAAAAATTGAAAATAAAAAAACTTAATTATAAATATTAAAATTATTTTGGATTAAGAATTAATCGAGAGTCACGGCAACCAAGTAAAAAAAGTCACTGAATATATATATAGAAACAAGAGTTGCTGATTTTCGGTGATCAGTTTCTCCGCCTCAATGCCTAAAATAATTCTGAATATCTCGTTCGAAAGATAATTGTTTTCTTAGGTAATGTACAAAATTTCAGTATTTTCTATAAAGGAGTTGCCGAAATATAAGCGATCGAAATGTGCAAAAATCGCCAAAAATTTTCTCTATTTTGTTTGGTTTGGTTTTATTTATATATGGCAATGCAACACATGGGTGATGTCTCCCTGAGGTCTTTTATGGGAAAATGGCCACTATTTAATTATTACCAATGTGAAGAAAACCGAAAAACTCCACGTGGTCAAGACGCTAACACCAGTATTTAATGATTCTATCCACTGGGCTTCTGGTAGGCCCACGATGTATTTGCTGATGAAATTAAATTCGAAATGAGAGAAATAGCTTGCACAGTAATATATAAATAAAATAAAGTAATAATAGAAATACAGTATAGGAGATATTCATTACAGCTTTTCCAATATGCCATACTCCACGTAAGTCTAGAAGCATTAAACTTTAATCAAGACCTTTATTTAATACAGAAGAAAGTAGCAAAATTAAATATTTGTCACATAGTGAGGTTGTTATACACAGATACGTGTATAACAGCAAGGATATTATAGGCCCATCAGTGGCCCAATGGATAAAATTACTGAACTCTAGTAGTTTGCATCTGGATGAGTGGAGTTTTCTGAGCCATAATTCATAAAAAAAAGGGCCAGTTTTTGATAGACAGTCCTTCCGGGAGACATCCCCTCTTGGCAGATCGGCCATAGGTTGAGTTTACCTTGTGTCACGAATCCAATCCGTATTATGGAGGAATCAGCAGGCCCTTTAGTTTAAACTTCTTTGATCCTGTAATATGACGGATGACTCAAAAAGGTAATTGATCGGTGCCTCTCTCGAGGGTCTTCTAATTAGTTAAAATTTAATTAATTTATTTTTTGCTTTTTATTGTGATTTAGTAATGCTTCTCTATTAATTTAAAAAATGTTTAGAATTTTCTTTAACGTCCAACAATGGAAAAGTTAGTTCAGTGATACGTTATTTTTGTCATTTGTAGCAGATATTGGTATAGTTGTCCCATAGTGTATTTCCCATCAATGTCACTAACTTATCATAACTAATCGCCAGATTCTACTTAATGCTTTACCAAATGCCAATTTCGACTCATTCCTTGGAGATTTCATTGATTCTGCAGAAAGAGAAATGGCATTTACTTAGAAAAAGGAAATATCACAAAATAAAGGATTTCCTACATAAAAGCAGTTCAGTAAAACTTGTAAAAGTTGTTAATATATTTTATATAACAGTATAACCTTATTAAAGAAAATAAATTATATATTAACTGAAGTTATATTTCATCATATATGTAATTTTAATTATATATCAGAATA